GGGAAAAAAAAAAAAAAAAAAAAAATGACCGATAATAATATTGCATACGAAAACCCGTACCCGGCCGATCCGTCCGATTATCCGGGGAGTTCGCGCACGTAGCGCGACCGTATATACCTCATGTGCAATAGCCGGGTGCCATTCTAATGAGACGAATAATCGACCGAACGGGATTATAGTACGCCTACGTATACATGCGAACAAAATATTACGACACCGCGTCCGCGTGTCGGAAAGGGGAAAACACCGCGTCGGCGGAGGAAAAAACGCGCTCGCATTCTTCCTCGTCGCGTCGATACGGGTTTTTTTTTCTTCTTCTTCTTCTTCTTCTTCTGTTCCTAACGGGTTTTCGGACGGTTTTTCCGCGCGCCGCCCGGCCCCCGATCGCTGCAGCGGTACACGCCGCCGTCATTATCGCGCGCCACTATTAATTATTTTATTGTTGTTGTTGTTGTTGTTGTCGTTACGATTCCGGTCGCGTTATCGGGCCGCGGCACGCCGACCGTTTTGTAACAACGGGTACGCGACGGCGACGGCGGCGGCGGCGGTGTACAACGACGGCGGCGACAACCCGCAAACGGCGGCGGTATTACACGGCCCGCGCGCGCGAACCCTCGCCGGGCGGGCGGCGGCCCGGGACGAGGCGTCGGATACCGTGTCGTGTCGACGTGTAGTACACGGAAATCGCGTGGCGACGCCGCGTACGTACTGTTATAGTACACGCCGGGCGCGCAGTTAACGCCTACACGCACACATACACACACGCACGGTACACGTTTACACGGGGGAGGCGGGTTGACCCGTGTCGTTTGTATACGTATATATTATTATTATTATTATTATTGTTGTTGTTATTATATACCTGGGCACCGGCGCTCGTATAAAATATACGGCGGCGACGGTGCCCGTGCAGATAACGGAATGAGTTGTTTGTGTGTGTGTGTGTGTGTGTGTGTGTGTGTCAAACGTTCGCGGCGACCGTGGAGGCCGCCCGCGCGTACCCCAATAGCTCCTCTACGCGCGCACGACGCCGCCGCGCGATACAACATACTCGGTCGGGTAACTGCGCCGGGACACGCCAACGATTGTCCGGGGAGGGGGGGGAAGGGGGCGGGGGTGTGTGGGGAAATCTTTATTTTAATTTATCGCCACGCCTCCTACCCCCCCATTCCCTCTGCAATGCGGCTAACAACCGACCGTGCACTGCCCGCATAATACACGCGCCCGGTTCGGAAAACAAACAGATACGTTAATTCCGGCGCGCGTGTCGTACGTTTCACGCAAATTACAACAACAATACCGTGTCGTTACCGGCGGCGTCGGCGCCGCGATACGCACAAACGTCTAATCGTTACTGTTGCCGTTATCTTTGTTATCGGGGCGCGTTCCGTGCGCGCGCGGCGCAGTATTTCGACGGTCGGCCGACACCGCGATAACCGTTCCGGTCGGCGGACGGCCGGAGGAATCCCTGTGCCGCGCGCGCAGCGGGCTATCCGTTCGCGGCGCGCCGCGGTGTAGCGCCCACGCGGCGCGGCAAACGAAACGCGTTTCGCGCGCCGGTAACGGGGCGACGGTCGCGGCGGACGGTAGCGAACAACGGGGCGACGATGACGACGCGATCGACGCGACGAAAATTGTCACGCGGAAAGACGCGAAATATTATCGAATATTTCTGCGTGAACGTCCGTTTAAATCGCACAAACGTGCCGACGACGGCGACGACCGGTAACGCTCGGCACGGTAACAGTATTACAATTATACACACGCCGCCGCCGTCTCGATGGTAAAATATTAAACGCTCAGTCATCGCCGTATTTCCGTCTGCGCATTGTATACAATATTGTATACGGCCGCTGCTCGACGGCGGTATTATGATTATACGTGTATAATATTATGTGTATTTTATATATATATACACACACACACACACACACACACACTGCAGCGGGTCCGCGGTGCGCGCGCGCATGTGTGTGTGTGTGTGTGTACACGAGAAAGCGTATTCGCCGAAACGCGTTCGATAAACACACACACACACACGCGCGCGCGCGCGCGCGCTCCGCCGTCGCACAGATACGTATACTTTAGGATCTCCGCCGCCGCCGCCGCCGCCGCGCAAAGAGCTGCTTCGTCATGTGCTCCGATTGTGCGCCGCGCGCGACTATGCGGTTTTCAGAGTGCAACGTCGTACATTTCGTGGTGTTACTATACACATATATATATATATATACACACGCATAACATAATACAGACAGACATATAATACCTATATATATATATATATATACTATTTTCTTCCGTCGCTGTACATAATGTAATACTTACGGTACTCGCGGCAGACGGGCGCGTAATATTTTATACGTATATACGTGCGTACGCTTAATGTATATACGCGTCACACATCACGTCAACTGTGCATCGCCGCCGCCGTCCTTTCCCGGCGAACGCGCGATACGTCTGCATTATGACCGGACCGGCCGTATCTCGCGAATTATCCCTCCGTCCGTTTTTCCCTCGGCGCGCGCGCGGCCGGAGTGCCGCTGCTGCCCGTCATCTCCGTCATCGTAGCCCGTCATCGTCGCACGCACGGCCGCTCGCCACTCGCGACTACAACAACAACAACAACAACGACGACGACGACGACGACGATAATAATAATGCCACCCCGCCTATAGGTGTGACACAAAGAAATGTGCCGATCACCCGACTCTATTGGTCGCGGCCACCGCTACTAAACAGCCGCGGCCGCTGCCGCGTAGTGGTGTTCTCTAGTGTCGCTCGGACCGCACAGCGCCGGGGCAATCGAGCGGCCCGCTCGCCGCCGCGGATACCCTGCGATAACAAATCGTTATTGCGTTTGCCGTCTCGGTGTGCGGAAAGGGAACTGAATTTCGGACGGGGGGGGGGGATCGGAATTTATCGGGGCCGTCTCCCGCCGCCGCCACCCGCGCGGCATTCGAGTTATTCCGCTCTATTCCGACGTTTGCACCGTTTTCTTCTCGGAGATTTGAGGAAAAATATGTCGACGTAACGTTCGCAATAAACGGTTTCGTTTGTTGTCGAGTCGAGTTTGTTAACGAATCGGTTGATATTATTGTTATTATAGTCGGACATTCGAGTGCATTGAAAATCCACGGATATCACGCCGCAAATCAACGAATTTTCATTATTCGAAAACTGTTAATCACAACCCCCGGCCATTCGGAAAATTCCCATTTTCGGACCGACCGTCCCCGTCCCTGCTGCGAGAACCGTGTCCCGCTACTTCGAGTACCTACAGCGACTCATTTTTTTCTCTCTCTCTCTCTCTCTCTCTCACTTTTTATAATCCGTCAATCCCCACGATCGCATCATCACAATGCCGCGTTCACTCGACGCACCGTCAAGTCGTTTCGGTTCGAGTGCGCACTGTTTGTTCGCCCGTCATGCGGCAGCCGTCGCCGTCATCCCGCCCGTGTATAATTCGGCGCGGGCACGACTATAAACGGTTATACTTGACACTGAAAACGGCCGCACAAACATATCGTAGGGCGTCCGGGGGACGTAACGCCGGATTTTGAGTTGGCAGCGATTTGTTCCCGCGACATTTGGTTACCGTGCAGGTTTTATCGTTTTCGCTGTCCGTCGTTATTCGGATTCCGAGCGCGCAATAGCGTTTTACCGTCAGACCATTTCCGTGGCGGAGCAGATGACTTATACGCGCGCCGAAGAACGCGACGACCAGAAATGGCCGGGTTCCCGGGTGATTAATCCCGTTTGATATGCACGATTGTTCAACGTCTCCGTAGGCGGGGCCGTTGCCGGCTGTTATTTTTCGCCCGAAAATCGGAGATCCCGCTCAATATGACGAGCGAAACGCGAAACAACAGTCGAATCATGAAAAAAAAAAAAAAAAAAAACCGAAAAAATGTTCGTGTCCGCGTTTTCTAATCCGGCGCTACGTCCAGCCGCAGTACGCCGCCTGACGACTGGCGAGGTTGCACGGCAACAACAATAATTTAAACGTTATAACAACTGCGCGCGGTCGTCATAATCGACCGTTGCACCGAGCGTTCGTAACGAAATTAACGTTTCGAATATCCCGGCGCGGGTACCCGCCGGTTGTTATTAACGCGCCGTAAAATTAATAAAAATGAAAAATAAAATACGATTCGCGCCGGCCGTGGCGCGGCCCGAAGAACTGTTTTCGTGCGATATAATCGCGTAATCGGTACGTCGGATGATGCGATCGCCGCCGCGCGCGCGTTCGCGCGGACATCGTTACCCGCGCCCGCCCGCGAAGATCGCCCGGCGGCTGGCGGGCCAGCGGAAACGCCACGGCGATTCGCCGGCGCGAAAAATCCGTGATTTACGCGATACCACCGAGCGCGCGTAATACGATTAAAGTGGCGTACTGTCGAGGGGAGGGAGGTGCGATTCGGGCCACACGTCACCCCGTCACCCCGCAAAGAGGTCCAGGCGAGTGTTTCTTTTTCACTTTCGCGGTGACGCCCGAGCCCGGCGCCGCCGAATTACCGTCCGGGAAACGTGATGCCGCGACACGACGTAATCGTCAAGTATCGTCCGTTCGTTATTGTTGTCGATCGAGTAATTGCAGTGCGACGTAGTGCAGTATATTTTTTATAAACAGTTATGGTGTACAGATTTCCGGAGCGTAACGAGAAACGTACCGGTTTTCCAATGATGTTTATTTTTTCGTCTGCGGTTATCTCGCTCCGGCGCATCAAGTGTGGCGACTTTTCCGAAAACAGATTTCGTCTAGCTGCGGGCATTTTGGAGGGGACGATTTGCGCGCGCGCGTATAAAAGAAACATCGAATCGTTTTTTTACGCGAACAACGCGGTCTCTCGTTGCGCACGGATATATAACAATACAATTCCCGTCTACGTCCTACGTGCCAAACTTCTCACCTACAACGGCGCAGGCCCGCCCGTCGCGCGAACCGTGTCCGTTTTCGGTGCGTCGTGTGATATTTTTAAAACGTGTTCATATCGCTCACCGTTGTAAACGTCCTAGTTACGCCGGCGATTTATTTTCAAACTCGCTACACGCGTGCCGCCCGGAGCTCCACTGTTCCGCGTCGTATCCACGTGGAATCGACACTCGGATCCGCGTACACGTAAACGCGGGACCGCGGACAGTGCGTTCCCGACGTAAGTCCGACGGTCTGCGTGACGTGGCCACGGGAAAATCCGTTAAATGTGCTCGGTCCGAAAACGGGTCGCGAAACGGATCCGTACCCGAACGGGTCTGCGTCTGTATTTGTGCAGCGTGCCGGCGTGTAAAAAGGGTTGAAAGTCGACCGGTCCTCCTTCCTCGCCCCTCCCGGAATTTAACGGACGGGTTTAAAGCGGAATTTGAGGGGGGAGGAGGGGATGACGGCGAGGTGGGCGGTCGGAGAACCGGCAAAAAGTCAAAATGGCGTAATTGTATAATATAATACGGGGCGATGTCGAGGGGCTATATATTATATTATAATATTATCGCGAACCGTCTCATCTGGTGCGCGAGTGGCTGGCAGGCGGAGATGAAGTGTTTCGGCAAACAACGGGCCCGCGTGTATTATTATATTACACTGTACACCTACCCTGTATACTTTATTTGCCGTTATCCCCCGCCCGGCGCGTCAAGTGGACCCGGAGAAATTGTAAGGACCGCGACGATATTATCCCGCGTACGCGGATCTACGTCGGATCCCCGTGCGCGATAAACTCGTATATTACATTTCTCTCGGCTGTTTTCCGTTCGTATAACGTAATTAACGAGTAACGGGAAAGTCGCCCACTCCACGAGCGAACCGTGAGTTTCCCGTTTTACAAACGTAATATTTCGAACGACGTACTTATATGTATATAGCGCCCTCCCCCCCCACCCCCACGCAACGTACAATTGTTTTGAACGGTTTCGGTACACTTGCGTGCGGAAACCTGAATACATTTAAAATTCTACGTTTAAACACGAATAACACGGAGATATGTTACGAACAATGATGCACGTTGTCTCGTCGTCAATCGAATCGACACTCGCGGCTACGGACGGACAGACAAGGCGTCTGAACTTATGATATCGGGAACCTGAAAAGCTTCGGTTTTGCCACCCTTATAGAAGACGCGACGGTTTTTGGTCCGATATTAATCGAAGAGCAAGTCGCGTTGGGCCGTGAGTCAAAAGGTACTAATGTTTGTGCGAAATACGTTTTGAAAAAAAAAGAATATTAAAAATACACATAGCCCACCGAAAAATCTCTTGGCTCAATTTTTCCCACGTTTAACCTAATCTCTTTGGGGGAGAGCGGAGACGTGATCATTATCACGGGCGGCGCTGAAATGAGATACGATATTTTTCGTTGCGGCGAAGCTATTTTTCTATACGTTCCTGAACTTTTCATATCTGTCTACGAGTTTCGGAAACGCCCGCAGCTGTATAATTTCCCGTCCAGTTTGCAAACGCAATGGCGGTGGCGTTCAAGTGCGTTCGTTCAAGTCCGACGATACACTGCCGAAAGAAATTGCCGTCACCGTCCCGGCAATTCCATCAACCATATAGTCCGCCGATTCGTTTCGATAATCTCGCCGACGGTAACGTTGTCCTGCACGCGCCTCCGCGTGTATTTGTCCGGGCTTTACTCGTTATTCCCGTGTTAAAACCGCGTTGCCGCGGTCGCTTTATATTCGCCGGTTCATCCGCAATCGGACATTTTGACGGGCCCCGCAACCGTCAGGTAAATAATATACGCCCGACGTTATTATTATTATTGTTGCGGGCGCGCGAGCGGGGTACGTTGTCGCGAACAGACTCTCGCCGGCGCGTGCGTAAAACGTATGCAGCTCGCGAAACGTTTCGCAGCCAATTTACGCGAACCCCGCGCCCTGTAATCCCCCGCGGAAATAAATTGAAAAACTACACCGGCGCGTATATGCACACACACACACATGCGTGCGCGGCGTGTACGCGTGCACGCATATAACGTCTCACGTCGTTTCCGCCGCCCGGCAACGGAAGGGGACGTTCGCGTATGCTACGTATATTGTATATACCCTATATATACCCTATATAT